CAAATCTGATCATGTCAGTAATTGACTTAGAACTCTTCAATGGCTTCTATTAACCTTTGGATAAAGTACAAAATCTTTAGCATAACTTCAAGGCCCTACACGATCTTGCAATAGTCTGCTTCTACAACCACATCTCTTACTTTGTCTTTACTTCCACTCTAGCTATAATGCACTTCTTTCAAACCTCCTTTCTGTACACACTCTACACACCATACTACCTTTCACTTCCATGCCTTCATGCATGCTGCTTTCTACTGGGAATATTGTTTGCCCTTGCCACCAATATCCTAAACTGGGTAACTCCTACACATCAGTAAGATCTCAATTAAGATGTTATCTCCCCCCTAAAGTACCCAAACTAGGTTAGATCTCCCTGGCAACTAGATCAGGGCCTAAGACATAGTAAATCCTAAAAATATTTGTTGACTTAGCTGAGTAGAAAAGAAGACTGGATAGGTATGGAAGGCTTTGATAGGCAAGCAGATGCTCAATAAATATTGTTGAATGAATGAGTAAATGAGTGGAAAGAAGAAAGACTTGTTTAATGAATGATTCTAATTTTTCCTATCATAACATTGATGCATTTTTAAAAATCATTGAGTATCATTCTAGGAAGAGTAAAATGTCCAGTTTTAAGATTAGGAGGCAATATTTTAAAATTGGTTCCAAGCTATAATATTTCACTAAAATATGTTCTATAAATTTTATAATATTTTAAAATATTATATTACAAGAGAAGTCCATGAAGAATTATATGCCAACAAATTAGAAAATCTCAGTGAAATGGACAAATTCCTAGAAACATACAAATTACCAAACTGATTCAAGAAGAAATAGAAAATCTTGACAGACAAGAGAGAATCTATAATCAAAAACCTCCCAACAAAGAAATGTCCAGGACAAGGTGGCTTCATTGGTGAACTCTATCAAACATTTAAACAAGAATCAACATAATCCTACTCAAACTATTCCAAAAATAGAAGAGGAGGGAGCACTTCCTAATACATTCTATGAGGCCAGCATTACCCTGATACCAAAGCCAGCAAAGATACCACAAGAAAACTATAGATTAAGGTCTATAGATGCAAAAAGATTTATCTCAGGAATACAAGGGTGGTTCAACGTAAGAAAATCAATGTAATACATCATATTAATACAACAAAGGAGAAAAACACATGATCATCCCAAGAGATGCAGAAAAAGCACTGAAACAATTCAATGCCCTTTCATGATAAAAAAAATACTTAGCAAGTAGTAGTAGAAGAGAACTTCGTAAACATGATAAGGGAACAAGACAAGGTTGTACACTTTTTGAGACTATAATGTTGTGGTTGAACAACATTGTGAATACACTAAATGCCACTAAATTACACCTTAAAATAGTTAATTGAATGCTATGTGAATTTCACAATAGAAAATCATATAATCATTTATTCACTTTGGCTTACTGCTCTGCAAATATATTCCCTATGTTTACAGGATAATTAGTAGGAAAGAATTATCATTTAGAAATTGTATTATAAAACCATGAAAAGCAAATTTTATTTACAATTCAAGATAAATGTGAGATAAAAATCTAACTAAAAGCCTGAAAAGCACTTTTAGGAGAGTCCGCAAATTTTCCTCTCAAAATTAGAATGTTCTTTTAAAAATTGGAAGCCAGATGGTCTTATACATAAAATCTCAATGTTAACTCCATATGGGATTTCAAAATTAATTCTGTTGCAGCTGCAGCAAAGCAATCATAACTGTAGTCAATGTGTTTATTTTTCCTTCAGTAATGTTTAGAGTAGTGTTTCTCAAAGTGGGAACTTGTTAGAAATGCAAATTTTCAAGCTTTACCCCAGATCTACTGAATCAGAAACTCTGAGAGTGAGACCCAGTCAGCCATCTGTGTTTTAATAAGCCCTCCATGTGCGCGCCGAAGTTTGAGAACCACCTGGTTAAGACCAATAAGCACAAGTCTTAGACAGAGAGGCTGCTATAAGCATTTTCTTACCAGACACTGTTGACTTATAAATGTTGTACTGTTTCTTCTAATTCTTAATGTGTCAGTTTGGAACACCTGTGAGTTGTCACTAAGAAGAAAAAGAAAACACTTATTATATGAAATCCATTACAAAATTTAAAGAAATAAGATTTCAAATACTTAACGCCACTAATGTAAATAGTTTTTCGGTGAAGACAGCTGTACAGATGTAGAAATTCCAACACACACATACAGAGCCCTAATCAGCTGAGCATAAACTTCCACGTAAGGCAAGGAATTCATAAGCATGCCACTTTACCTCTAATCATGCTACTGAGAGTAAGTATAATCTACTGTGACCTTGGAAATACATCATGTTCAGTGTAAACCTGTAACTGGTTTAAATTTATGGTTGAAGCTACAATATATAAGCACTAATTCCCTCTCAACTTCCAAACTTTCACATGAATAAGAGGGATAACTAACATCAGGGGTCGATAGAACTGAGATTTTTCACAGATGTTTTGTTTGGCTTACACGGTGTGAAAAATGTTTTTGAATTCGTTGTGCACACTGAGATTTCACATAAAAATCCAGATTCCAGACTTCTGGCCTCTATTGAAAATTTGCAACATTTTGCAACACTAGGCCACATTCCCACATAGCAATGAGGGAATGAAGCTGTGTTGCTACCGCCCGCTGAAGACGATATCTGTGTCCTTTGACAGTTGCCCACCCAGGTGGCCTCAGTCCTTTTGAGCTTGTAACCCTGAAGAAGTCTCCTTTTCCTTTTTTGCTGATCTTTTTTTCGTGACCAGGTCTTGCTATGTTGCCAAGGATGGATGTGCAGTTGCTATTCACGGGCGCAATCATAGCATGCTGCAACCTTGAACTCCTGGCTCAAGTAATCCTCCCGCCTCAGTCTCCTGAGTAGCTGGGACTACAAGCATACACCAACATACCTGGTATCTTTTCCTTTTTATGTTTCCTTTTTATTATAACTTCTCGTTTTGAAATAGTTTAAGGCAAGAAATTGCAAAAAGAATATAGATGGTTCCTATGTACTCTTCATCCAGGTTCCTCCTATGATAAGAAATCATCTTTAACACTTTCTTTTTTTTGCTGCCTATATATGCAGTCAGGTGCCAGCCTTTTAGGTTTCACTTCTATACTCCCTCTTGTATCTGCCTTATTCTTTTTAGGCTCCTTGCCCAAAACCAACTCAAAACCTTTTTTCCTTTTCCATGGACACTGCAATAGTCTAATCGTACTTCTCGCCTCCCTTCTTTCCCTTTCACAAGCTCTCTAACAGACTACCAAGGGGCACCTTCCTAAAGAACAGCTTGCTCTCCTGCTCACAATTCTCAGTGACCCTCTTCATTGCCTGCCAAATTCAGTTACATTCTTTACTATGACATTCAAAACTCTCTACAATTTGGCTCCAGACTTATGGACTTCATGGACATGTAAAATTTCAAAAAAAAAAAAATCTAGGAACAAATATACCATTGCTATCTTTTTCTTATGCCAAGTAAAGTCATTTTTTAAAAATCCCACCATTGAAAAACATCATTTCATTTGTAAAAGGATATTTTGCTATTAAAAACAAAAGGTACAGGACTAAAAATTTCAGGGTACAGTACAGTCCTGCCCAGCAAGGACAATTAACAACTATGTAGCAATCTATTTAAGTATGCTGTACTTAACTTTTTTAAAAAAGCAGGGGTTGGTGAAAACTTTACCTGGGATCAGCACTCACCAGGAGATGAACATTAGGAAGCCAGTGGTTCAGGTAAAGTTGACCATTCAGCTCTCTGGAATACACCTATGCTTTTCTGCCTCCCAGCCTGTTCTATATACTTGGCAATGCTGTCCCAGCCATCAGGCCCCTTACCTTCCAGTGTGTATACTATCAATCCACTAAGGCCCATCTCAAATGCCACCTTCTCCATGAACCTTTTCCTTAACCCTTACCAATCCCGCTGTAATTTCTCTCTCTTTTCTTTGAATTCCCCTAGCACTTTCTTTACCTCTCTAAGCACTTTTAAGATAACATTTAAGTCCTTTGAATATTTATCTTCCCTATTCAATTAAAAACTTAGTGAGCCTTGAGATACATCTTTGCAGCATGCTAATTTGCATGTAATAGGCAGTAACTCAATATTTTATCAATGAGAGGATATATAGATGACCTAATTTTTACTTCCTTTCCTAGTCCTTTTCCCTGTGAGAACAGGAGTATGTTCTGGCAGTGACTTACCAGGAAATTGGAGGGACACTAATAGGTTACATATTTCCACTATCTTTTGTGTATTCTTCTGTAACTTTTTGTCTATTTTAATAAGACTGTAACTGAAAGAAATTGAGGTAGCATATACCTTAACTGATATCACTCATTCAACATGAATTTATAAAACCCTAGGTGATATCTAGAACTGTCACTTCTAACTTGGAAAAAGTGAAGGTCATATAACCGGATGGATGTTCAATGCCCCACATAAAATGATCAGTAAGCAGCTCTGTCTACACTACAATAGATTTGCGTCAGTTATATTCCCAAAGATATATTTTTTCATGGCCACAATTATTCAGGTTTGTAAGAATTCAACAACCAGATGGAGTGGAAACTTTTTATGCAAAGGGGCCAGATAGTGTATACTTTAGGCTTGATCTTCTGTTGCAGCTACTCAGTACTGCCATTGTAGTGAGAAAGTAGTCATGGATGATAAGTAAACAAATGGGCATGGTTATAGTCCAGTAAAATTTTATTTACAAAACCAAGTGACAAAAAAAAAAAAGTGGCAGGCTGGACTTGGCCCTCAGGCCATAGTTTGCCTTTCAAATAGAATTGAGGCAATAATAGTTAAAATGCAGGGTCAGGCTAGAGGATTTTAAAGGTGGGAGGCACTGGCAGGAATCCAAGAACCTAATCTCTAATTCTTTTAATAAGGGTCAGAGAAAGAGAAGAAAAAAACTACTACCTTTAAATATAGTTATTAACACCAGTAATAAAGTCAGACAACTATAGGGATAAAGGGGATAAAGAACCAAGAAGTTCAAAATGTTTTGACATTGGTACTTTTATTTATACAAGATCTATACAAAACAGTTCAGGAACTTCTTTAAAACAATAATATTGTATTCAAGAGTTAACATTTAAGGAATAAGTTTAAGGAATTTAATTCTGCAAATGCTGGTGCAAGAGGGGGATCTTTATATACAAGAAACATCAAGTAAAATTAGAAAATTACTTGAAAGAGGTGCAACAATATTTAGCAAGCTGTCAATAGAATGCTTTGCTGCAAGGTATAGTTTAGAAAGAGGCAGGACAAGAAGTATTTTAGGCCCAAGGAAGTAAAAGCGAGAAAAATGAGCTATGTATATATGCGCAGGTGAAAATGAATTCGACTAAGGCTCAGTGTAATTCTACTCTAAATTTGTCTTGCTTGAGAATAACTTCTCTAACTACATCCTAAACTCGCTATGACAGCACAAAATATGCCCTTGGATCATTTGGGCAAGTTCCCTGACCTCAGGCATGTCAAATATCACTCCTATGTTACTTCTTTTTGATGGACTAGAGTCCCCAGACTTGGTCCACTTTATAGTTTCTATATCTTTAACTCCTACTAGATAAATATGTTAGTAACACCTTTCTGTACAAATTTTACTTCATGTATCAGGATCTTAAGCTGTGGAATTCAACACTATAACTATGTTCTAATATGATTAAGAACAAAACAAAACAAAAACAAAACCTCAAATCTTTTGCAGAATAAAGCAAGGTATGAAGGGATAACTGAGATCTCTTTGCTTCTAGGACTTGGGGGATTAAGGAAGGGGGCCTGGTCCATCCCCTTGTATTTTCAACCTGTTTCTTCTTTTTATAATGCCTTCCAATAAAACCAACATTCTCCTCACCTCTCTCTTCTACCAAAAGAGTAGGTCCCATAACAGTTCCTTTATTCTCACAAGAGGATTACAGCAAAATCCCGAGTTTATAAAATGTTCTTTTTCTCAGCACAGCATGCAGGGTCCCCCACCTTTATCTTTCTACCTGCCTAGTTTGAAAAGGTAATGTATTTTTTTTTTTTTGGTTAATTTGCTTTTCACTTTGTGACAATATATTCTCTCCTATCTCAAATGATCCAAAGGCTGCATTTGTTTAAGAATTTAGCAGCTTAGATATTGATTAGGGGTGGACAGAATATTAGTTTAGGATAATCAAGAGACACAGGGTCCTAGTGCTGGCTCTGCCACTAATCATGTCATTTTGAAGATTTATGGGCCTCAGTTTCCTCATATGTTAAACAAGGAAGGTAGATCTGGTCTCTGGCTTCCTTTCTAACATTCTATGATGTGAATTACATGATGCCACAAAAGGTGAGGAGCAAAGTTAACATATATAGTGAATGAATTTTTCAGACATTTTTACAATATCTAGAAAACCTTATGATATAGATCTAAGATCTCCTATTAAAATTCTAACTTAAGATATAATAAGGCCTTGGATACCCGAATTACCCTGATTTAATTCACATTGTATGCCTGTATCAACACATCACATGTACCCTATAAAGATATGCAACTATTATGTACTCATAACTTAAAATACATTTAAAAAAGAAATAATAAGATTTAGTAATGCCAGACTTTCAGATAGGTGCAGGAAATACAGTTAGTATTTTAGTGCAATGTTTCTAAATCCTTTTTCTGTTATTGGTTCTCTATGGAGCCTTTTTTAGACATTTTCCTCCTAATTGCTGCCCCTTCACAAAATTTTAACACCACAGATATAATGTATATCTGTTTATGTGTACCGTATGTATATCTGTGCTTTATACATAAAAAGAGTTAAACATTTTTCACACCTCCCCCAAGAACCAATTTTCTCCTCCCTCCACCTTGGGGAAAATATCACCCACTGAGAATGTATAATTTAGGAGATCAAGCTTCAGTGGTACCTAAACTTTCTGCTTAAATAAAAACTAGGTGTAAAACCAGCTCAAACTTATTTGCTTGACAACCACGTATGTCTTGAGTGTGCTGGAGGTAAAGGTCAGAGGTGACAAAAGAGTTGAGAGAATAGACAAAAATTAAAGTCACGGCAGAAGATCTGGAGGCAAGAGGGGGAGGATGCTCAGTTTCTTCAAAGGAATGGGTAAGAGATGGAGTAAAGTTAGAAAAAGGTTGTGCTCCACACCAACTGGTTGCTGCTTTCAGGTCCTGGTGGACTGTCAGGAGAGGACGTTCAGGCGTTCAAGTTCAGATGTGTGTCAACCTCAGGGTGGGTGTTTGCTCTCCCTCAGGTCAGCCCGTCCCACTCCCGCCCAGGCTGAGGGTGGGATCTCTGGACATCAGGAACAAGGGAGATTCCTGCAGAACCTCGACAAATAAAAGGATGGGAGTGCTATCGGAAGTCACTTTCTCCCACACCTCCGCACCCCCACGCCCACCTTCATGCCTCCTCCATTATATCAACCTTGCTCACCTAAGTCCATTGATCAAAGGGGCGCTGTTGGATCGTCTCAGGATGTTGCAGTCTGTGGTGGTGGAACTTGGAAGCAGCTCCAAACCTAGTTCCATTTTCTCCTGTGCCATGTCCGTGTCGAGGAAGAAGCTACTGCTTAGTTCGAAGTTCTCAAGGCTTTTTGACTCCCGTTCACATAAGGACAAGTCAACTTGGTGGGCAGATGATGTAAGGAGAGAGTTAAAGGGGAAAAAGAGAAGAGAAGAGAAGAGAAGGCATTTAGAAAAGTGGAGGTGCTCACCTTTGCACCCCAAGCAGTCCTAACACCAGTAAACACAAAGTTTGGCAGGATGGGTCCCGAACCTACTATTCCCCATCCTCGAGCCCCTCTAAACACTGAGAAGGTTCCCCACCTCCAACCCTATAATGCAAACAGGGAATTCATCCACCGTCGCGAATCCTGCTCCTTCATCTCTCTCAGCCATGGCAACCGCGAGTAAACTTTTCCAGCCAAAACAAAAACTACAAAAACCGCCTTTGAGGATTAGTTGGGTCCCGCCCCTGTTCGCATGCGCCCTGCGTCCGTCCGGCTTGACGCAAGCTTTTACGCAAGCCATTAGCGTAATTTCAGGCGCCTTTGTCAGCCCTGTCAGCGGCGCATGAGCAGTCAAGGAGGTGCCTTTTCCCCTTTACCATGCCCTCCCTTCTGTGTTCCTGGTGCAGACTCCCTGTGGTTGTTTCTCTACTCCTTTGTTAACCCTGGCATGGTTTCCTTAACTGTTATTTAGGGGGAGAAAAAGTTGGGAGGAGTGAGGTGTATGGGAGTGCCATCCTTTCTGCCCTGTGTCGAATATTCAGTTTTCTCAGTTTTGGCTGGCCCATCATCACCTTATGACAGGCCAAGAAGCTTGTTACCTCCCATGACAAATTTTTCCACACTGTAACAGCAGACACAGTACACCTTCGTAATTTTTAAAAAGCTAAAGTCTGAGAAGAAGAAGAAGAAGAAAAAAACACTCCTAAGTGCTCAGAGGCCACTTACTCCCAAAGAGTCTTGGTAAGGCGCTAACCTAATTGAACCAAATTTCCTAGACCAGTCATTTTCAATGTGGTTTCATTTCTTACCGTAATCGTCCAGTGTGTATTTTTACATTGTATAAAATCTGGCTCCTCACAGCTATTCATCTAAGAAACACACTGCTCTGCTAAGTTTCAAAGATTTGAGTTAAAGCAGTGAGGCTTATTTTCTTAAATATTTCAGAATTTAGCATTCATCTAAATCAGTGTTTTCATTTCAGGTAGTATTAGAGGGTATACACATTCTAACAGTTCTGTCATGGCTCATAACATTTTAAGAACTGCTCTTTTAATTAGCTGGGCGTGGTGGCACGCTCCTGCAGGAGGCTGAGGTAGGAGGATCGCTTGAGTCCAGGAGTTTGAGGTTGCAGTGAGCTATGATGACACCACTGCACTCTAGCCCGGGTCAAAAGAGCAAAACCCTGTCTCAAAAAACAAAAAGAAAACCAACCAAACAAAAAACCCAAAAAACAAGATCACAAAAAACACCCCAAAACTGCTCTTTTAAAATTTTTCACCACCAGTTAATAAGCCACATTGAGTACTGAAATCTTAACTCCACATCAATAATTTTGTAAAACCACATTTTAGGAACCATATAGAGAACTGGCAGAGAAGACAAATAAACCTATTGAAATGAGAGCTATTGATTAAAATAGTCATAACATTGATATAGCACTTTACAGTTTACAAAATGTTTTCACATACTTATCTTAATTGGTTCAATCATCAACCCTGCTCAGCTTATCAGTGAACTTAAAATAATGGGATTGTCTTGAGATAGTTCATGGCAAGTTATGACATGTAAGATCACAATCACTTATTCATTAATTATGGGAATAGAATAAGGAAAACTTGATTATGTTAGGCAGAATTAGATTACCTAAATCCCAGACATCAGGATGATTTGGAGTCTCCATTCCTGATGTAAAACACGTTAATAATAGCTACCATTCATTGGGCACTTATTATGTGCCTGGTACTGACCTAATCATTTTAAATATGTGATCACATTTAATGCTAACAATAATTCTGTGAGGTAGGCAACATCACAATGCCCATATTTCAAAGAAGGAAACCAAAGCCCAGAGGGGTTAGTCAAATTACAACTACAAAGTGGCAAAGCCAAGATTCCTCTGCCTTTCTGGTTTTGTTTTGTTTTGTTTTTGTTTTTGTTTTTTTGAGACAGGGTCTCATTTTGTTGCTGAGGCTAGAGTGCAGTGGCATCATCATAGCTCACTGCAACCTCCAACTCCTGGGCTCAAGCATCCTCCTGCCTCAGCCTCCTGGGTAGCTGGGACTATATTCCCATGCTGTCATGCCCAGAGGGCTAATTTTCTTTTCTTTTCTTCCTTTTTTTTTATTTTATAGAGACAGAGTCTGGCTATGTTGCTCAGGCTGATCTCAAACTCCTGGCCTCAAGCCCAGGCCTCCCAAAGTGCCAGGATTATAGCCATGAGCCATCTCCCCCAGCCTCCTCTACCTTTCTATTTAAGTAAAAAGATGGAATTATCTCTGAATATTTTTCTGGACACTTTCTGTACTCATAAGCACTCAATTAATACTCAATTAATACCTATTAAGTCATTTTATGAATAAATGTAGGTTTAAATAACCTGTCTTTAAATAACCTATCTTGTAAATTAGTTAAATCATTTCTTATTTTACAGCTGATAAAATTCTAAAAAGATTAATGGCCCATAGTTAGGTAGCCACAGAATCCAGGCTAGTACCAAGAATTACTGAATGCCACTGTTAAAATATCCAGGGTACCTGGAAAGTTTACAAAAGATGATGGTTAATGCTGAGTAAAATCAGGGTGAACAGAAAAGGCAGTTGTTAAAGACAGAACAGAAAGTCAAAATCAAACCATCTGAAATAGCAGAAAAATACGGAGTACACCAGTCAACAAGTGGATCTTACTTCTACCATGAATTTTACCTTTCAGAGTTTAATATTCTTGGCAGGTAATAAGGTTTAATGAATACATTTGGAATGAATAGACAAAATCTCATCCTTCCTAAGCATCACAGATATTTTTTAAAAATCAAAATACAATAACACTAAGAAAATAGGTATCACAAAATGACAAGGAAAACGTAATTAAGGAACTATGTTTATAAGAAAAGGGGCAGTAATATGAAATGACTAAATGTATGAGATGGTAATAAGTTTAAGCTATTACCAAAGAGGAGGAACTCTCAACTAGAGAACAGCTACATGTCAGGAACCCAAAACCTGTAAAGATATAGACAGGATTCATAGTACATACACAGGTTGGAATATCAAAAGGAACAAGGACTACAAAAACAGAATTCTGCACGCTACAATGGCAAATATAACACTAACAGAAATTATTTTTACTTTTCCCCATTTCTACCTACACATTATTATACCCACCTAGCTGTGTTTCGCGATCAGCTCTTTCGGTTCCACCGCAATATGCCATGATCTTGAGGAACTGGTTTGTTTAAATCCACACCTTGACTCTTATGCTACTCCTCGCCTCATACGTCCCAGTCTGCTACCATCTGTCCCAGGCCTCTTATCTATAAAAGATATCCCACAAATATGTCATAATCAGCTCTTTATTTTACCAGTTGCCATGGCAACCTTTAAGCTACATTTTAACTTTCATTTAGCACAAGAGCAAGTCAAATACAACTTGAACTCAAGCCCCAAAACCAAAAACACCTAAACACCTCCCAAAAGACTTACGTGAAAGGTAAAAAGAAACTAGATAGACAAGAACTATGTGAATAGATTCCCCTGGAAATGGCTGCCAAGGTAGCGCCTTTCTCACATATCCTTGAGCTTCTCCTAAATTGTTAATCTCCTGAAAGTTAGGGATTTTAATAAATTGTTTGACTCCTCAGAATTAGGGCCAGCGCATGTGGTTAACAAATGATTATTTAGTAGCTATTCTGAACAAAAGAGTGTATTATAATTTTTTGAGCAGGGAGGAGAAGGGTGGGTGTTGGAAGTTGCAGAGACCTTGAGATCTCATAAATGAGAAATGTATCTCATTTATGAGATACATAAATGGCTCAAAAACAGAGGTTGTTGTTTCCAATCTAGCTGGCAGAAAAATACAGGCAGTTTAAAGGAGACTATCCAAAAGTATTTTAAAACCCCTCATATCACAAGCAGAAAGCATAAACACTGAGGAATAAAAATGACAGTTGGGCTTGGCAAGTTTAATATGGGACAATTGAATTGAAGAGGCAGGCAAAATTATTTTTTTTGCTAAATTTTGAAACCAATTTCATAACTATTGCAGTTCAGTGCAATGGCCTTCTTTTCCCCAGGGGCCATTCAAATGGTGAAGATTTAATGAGTTAATATTTCTAAAATTCTTAGAACAGTGCCTAACACATAATAACTTTCTTGCTATGTAGGTGTTTGTTAAATAATTAAATAATTCAAAGTCTCTCACACACACTGAGTCATGATTGTTAGGGACTCCGTAAATCCCAAAAAGAAAAAAAAAATGGTTCTACTACCTGTTTTTCAAGACTTTTCCTAATATTGTTGAAGCTAACGGTGCTTGCAAAATGGAGATGTTTCTCCCTAGCTATATGAACACTCATGAGATTCGCTTTATTTTTACTTCATTGCTTTTGATTTTTCCCCTTTTCCTTTGTCTAGTGCATCCAAATGAATGATCTTAAAAGGAAATCAGCCCTTCTAGACAAAGACCAATAAGATCGAGGGATTTAAGAAATGAGCGGGGATCACAGATGTCAGAACGTACAAATTGGGAATGAAGTCATGTGGAAACTCCATGTTTTTCTCTATTTCTCACGAATATTGGCCCAAACTCCTGCTGAAAGCTGATGCTCCAGCATCTCCAAACTATTGGTTCTTTTCGAAATCAGGCGCCAGAGTACTCGGGCCAATGCCTTAGAGGAAGGCGCCAGGCGCCCTGGAAACGCCACGCCCCTTTGGGGGTGTGGCGAAGGGCGGGGCTCCCACGCATGCTCCATGCTCGCTGGCCCATTGGAGCGACCGCCGGGCGCGTGCGCAGGACCCGATGGGCCCCCGGACGCGGAAGAATTGGCCCGGCAGAGGCTCCAGCTTTTGAAGCGTGGGAGGCGCAAGAGGTGGCAGGTTGTAGATTTTGGTCTTGCCCCGAACGGGTTACCCCGGACCATTAGAACCCAAGAGAGGAAGAGGAGGCACCGCGGCGGCGGCTAAGAAGCCGAACTCCCCCACCTGTCCTCGAGGCGAGAGGAGAGCAGGGAGGGGAGAAGCACTGATCCCGGGGCTGAGGAGCCTCCGGGACCGGGTCCCGGAGCATGGGGGACCGAACCGGGTCCCTGAGCATGGCGAGCTGGAGCCGCCCAGGCAGCCCGGCTGGGTCCTGCCCCACTGTCATTTCTTCGGTGCTAGCACTGCCCGGGCAGCCACTGCATCTGTAGCCGAGTCCCGCTTGTGGTCCTCGGCGGGAAAGATAGCAGCATGAGTTCCGCCGCTGTCTAGTTTCCTCTCCCTCCTCTTCTCCCTCGGTTCTCCTCCTCTCCTCTTCTCTATACCTTTTACTTCTTCTTTCCTGCCCCTGTACTCCTCTTTCCCCTGCCCCTGACCTCCTCCACCCCTCAGTCCTCCTTTGCTTCGTCTTTCTCTATATAGCCCTTGTGCCATCCTCTTCTTATCCTTTCTGTCCTCCTGCTTTGCCATTTATCCTTTTCCCTCCTTTGTCCTCGTTTCCCTCCTCTCTCCATCCCTCCATCCCTCTTTTTTATCCATCCTCTTCCTTCATTCTGTCACCCTCCACCACAATCTCTCCATCCTCCTCTCTTTGCTCACCACTGTCCTCCTTTCCTCATCAGCAGCATCCTCCTTCCCTCCTCCTCCTCTCCTTTTCTCCGCCCCCAGCCCCCAAGCCTCCGCCCCTTAGCCCCCGCCCCCAGCTGCCTGCCAGTTCCCAGCAGCTCAGTCCTGCAGTGAGAGTCTTGGGAGTCCATAGCTAAGCACCAGGAGCTGAGCACTGCCCGCTGTGCCTGCCCACAAGTCTCAACATGGCTCAGGAGAAAATGGATCTGGACTTTGAGCCTGACACATCTGATGGGGGAACCCTGAGGAGATCTAACAGCGCTCCCCTGATCCATGGGCTCAGGTGAGCAGGGTTGGGGAGGATGGAGTACCGGGTTCAGGGGTTCCTTGACCCCGTGCAAGCAGTCTCCCTTCCCTGAAGTGGGAGTTGGAGCTTATTTGGGCTCTCCAAACTGAGGGAGTAGGGATTTGTTTGCTTGACAGTGACTTTGAGTCCCAAGGTGGAATGAAAGTTTGACCCCAAACTCTGGGCAGTGTGGGGGAAACAGGGCCCCCCTCTACCTGGGGCCGTGTTGTCCCACTCTAAAAGGAACTGCAGAGATCTGCTGGCTCTTCTGACAGGTTGCTGATCTGCCTAATTTACAGCACGGAATGTCAGACCAAAGCCCCTGGAACTAGACTTGCAACGTGATACCTGTCTCTTAGAGCAGCTATTTCCAAGCTTAGTTTAGGAACCCTGGCATTAACAGGTTTACTTTAATAAATCACAATTTATCTAATAACTTGCAATTAAATGGTATGTTCACATCATAGTAAGTGATTTGGATTTGTCCTAATGTTTTCAGATCCTAAAGCTGCCTGAAATGCATTTCAGTGAATAAAAAAAGAAGAGTGGCTTACAGCTTAGGTCAGTGAAAACACAAGTTTTAGAAAACAATGGAGAGGAGAGAATTGATCCTTGAATTTTAGTGGTGGAGTCTTGTGTTTTCATGTGAATAAGTCCCCAGGGGGCCTGTTTTAAGGTAGAATCTTATGATTCTACCTTAGAAGGTTAGGTCTGCTCACTTCCTGAGCCTATTACATTTCACTGTTATAAGTAGACAATTCATCTTAGGTGGAGAGCCAATTTGTGAGACCCTGTAGAAATGGCATTAGTCCAAAAGGGGGATGGAACTGGAATTAGCTAACAACATATTAATCAAGCACAGTGAAGGCAAAGAAAGAGGTAATCCTTGTCTTGTCGAATTGATGGTAACATTTGTGTTTTGAAGCAGGTTTACTTTTTTCTTTAATTTTGAAACTGAGGGAATGATGAAGTGACTTTTTGCTTTCCTGTTGCTGCCTTTGGCCCTGCATTTATTTTTGATACTATAAGAATAAACTGATCTTTTTCTGGTTGTCCTTTTAAATCTGGTAAGCAAGGAATTGCTAGGGACTTGGGCAATCCTAGTGACCTGCATTGTGACTGTTGTAGAAAAAACAAACTGGTTTTTGAGTCATAATTGAAATAATTACTAGAAAGGTAGCATGATGTGACAGAAGAAGGTGAGGAGACCAGGCCTGATCCCTATTTTAACTAACGAGCTATGATCATGAATGAATCATTTAACCTTTCTGAATCTCTGTTTTCTTGTTTAAAAAGTAGGAGAACTGAATTAGGTGATCTCAGTGATCCCTGGAAGCCTGATCCAGTTCAGGTCTGAAAATCCTTCTTGAGCTCTTATTGGAGGCATGGCACTCTGCTAGGCACTGCAGGGATATTATACAAAGATGAATAAAACACCTCTGTACCAAGGGGTTTAAGACACATGCATACTTTAGTGAGAGGTGAAGTAGGTGTCTCAGGAAGCATTTCATCTCGCAGTGTGCTCTCTGGGGTTAAAAGAGGGAATGATTGCATTAGGTTTGTGGAAAGAAGAGAGGTTTGTGCCGTGCCTTCATGGAGGGCATGGTATTTGTGATGGGTGTGGAAAGACAGGAAGGATGTTGACAGATGGTGGTAGGAGAGAGGATATTTGAGGCAGAAGAGGCAACCTGAGCACAACCTCATGTTGCCCCTTTATTCAGTTGAACAATGGCATTTAAAGGTAGGACACATGTTTAGGGCAATAGTGGGAGATGTGCTGATTGGGCTCATGTATTAGAACAGGGTTCCCAGCCCTTTTCACATCATGACACACACATTACAAAGAACAGTAATACCCGTAGGTCCTCTGGGGCAAAAAGATGAGGCTTCTCATATCTGGTGGTAACCAGTTTGGGGATGTAGCTCTGACCAGAAACAGCTAGAAGCAACCAGTCTGGAGCTCCGCCCTACACCTCTCAGAGCTGCCTCCCAACCACCAAGGAGATCATATCTTGGCAAACCTGTAATCCACAGCACACCAGTTGGGAAGCTCTGCAGAGAGGACGGTGAGGAGTTCATTCTTTGTATGAAATAAGGAGCCATCGAAGATTTCATTGTTAACTAGAGAACTTATGCTAATCTATTTGAAAGAGATCTTCAATTAGAAGACATTAATAATTTTCTTTTTATTTTCCAGTGACCATTCACAGGTTTTTCAACCATACACATTTAAAACTCGGAGGAATAGCACAACAATTATGAGCCGTCACAGTTTGGTAAGTATCAAAGTAAGTATCTGAAGTGATTTAGATTGGGGAAGACACTTGCAAATGTAGTTCTTTCTTAAAATTATGTGCTATGCACAATTGTTTAAAAAAGAAAAGATTTATTATTTTACCTATCTTGTTTACTGCTTATGCCATGGCCATTCAGTTTTTGGTACAAAAAAGAGATCTGGTTAAAAATTTTTTCTTTGCCATGAGACTTAATGTTATTTTTAAAAATTGTTAATTGGTATTTGTCACTACTCGCATCATGGTTGCGAGGTAAGTCAGGGTTAACTTCTAATTATAGCTAAGAACAGTGGTCTTTATTTGTCCCAGAATACAAAAATCGCTTAAACAGCAACGGAGTATTTGTTTCTGACACTTGTCTATTAGACAATGCTAGTTTTCCAAAGTAAAGACTCCTTTAAAATGCTTATATTTAT